CATGGGAGATGCTGTATTACCACATCAATCACTGCTCCCTCTCTTTCTTAGTTTTGCAGATGAATCCTGTATGAGCCTCAGCTGGGGTGCTTCTGGCACTGGGGAAGCTGAGATTTAGATAGCAGGTTCTCAGCCCAGGTCCCCTGGCATGTGATTCACACACTTTCAAACTTGCACTGAAGGTCTCCTCCCACCATGCTGAACACCGAGTTTAGAGCTCAGCATAATTTATATAATTTGCTGGGGGAAGATGGTCCTTCCCAGCTGACCTCTTTCACTCTAGGCTTACATATAATCCTTTTATTTTTTTTTTTTTTCCAGAGGGAGGGCTGTTGCCTGTTAACCAGCCTAGCTACCAAAAGGGGAGTAGGGGAGGGAGAGCACAGGCTTTTGCTCCAGCATAATGCTATCCACTGGTGTTGGCTGGATCTGCCATTCCTACCTGTCATCCAAGCTCCTGCTGCAGTTTGTCCCCTGTGAATGTGAGTACTGATGACCCTTCTGCTGCTGCTGATCTGCTTCCCCTTTCTCTTGGATGTGAGCTGCAAGTTTTGACCTGTGTTCAGCAGGGGATGCCGTTACACATCAGGACCCAAAGTCTCTTGGAGGAAACTTTCTTTTTTTGGAGGCAGCAGGGCATGCAGAGGGACCATAGTGGGAAAGGATGGGGCACCTTCCCCACGGGAGGGGAGTAGGAATGGATGGAGGCAGAACTGCAGAACAAAACCCATCCAACTGGAATAGCAAAGGCTGCTGAGCAACGGTGGTTGCTGTGACCTGAGCCGTGGGCATCGTGCTCAACTGCATGACCTACACTCTCCAGAAAAAAGTAAACCCTGAAAATGAGTGCTTAAACCACCCGTGTGCTCAGAAGGCACAGCCTGGACTGCTGCATACTGGGGCAACTGTAGATCCAGCACATTCATCAGCTCTTGGCAGAGACTCTTATGGCGAGATGGGACAGGAGAATGGAGATGTGGAAGAGGAGAATGCTTGCAGTAATGGAAGAGTAGCAGAACAGGCAGGTTGGTGGGAGAGAAGGTGTTGCATTTGCTGGGATATGGATATAAAACGCACAGATGCCAAATCAAACCGTTCCCCTTGTTTCCTTTTTTTTTTTTTTTAATTTTTATTTAATGAATAACCAGTGACTTAAAGACAAAGACCGATAATAGTATGCCTGCCTTTTATTCCAGAGCGTCCCCCTTCTCCCTGCTGTTTGGCATCGTGCCCATCTCCAGCAGGCACTTTCAGATGCAGATTTCTCCCTGAATAGGTACGGCGGGGCTCTTTGTCCTCATCTCCCCCACCTTCATTAGCGGCTCTGCTGCTTCTGGGGGCCTTGCTCAGCTATCAGAGGCACCAGGGCCGGGCAAGGAGCAGAGCAGAAAAGGCCCCTTCACACTGATTCATCACCACACAAATGGAGGAACACCCCAGCTATGCAGAGGGCGGTATCTTTCTAAAACATGCGTAAATAGCACACAAAACAATGATTACACAGCGCTTATGCATCGGTTAAAATTCACCCTGGGTAGGCTGGATAACGCATATCCATAGAGAATAAAATGGATTTGCTTTGGGTCTGCAAATGGTTCAGAGATGTCTCTTGAGATTGGGGCACTGCCTGGGGCACGGTGGACATATCTGGGTAGTAACCTATCATCAGGGCCGTGACAAGAAGACAGATGAGGAGAGGAGATGACCCCCGGTGTGTCTGTTGCCCTGGTTTAGGCTAAATGTTGAAAGATGAGACATCTGTGTTCCAGACATCTGTGTACGTGTGGCTCAGAGGCCAGTCATCCCACATAAATGGTGTTTGGAGGTTTGTGTCAAGCAAGAAGACTCTCAATTATCAAAATTTGCTTTGAGTAGGGGAGGAAAATGCTGGGTAACTCTGTGTTCAAGAACTGAAAACCAAGCCTGGTTTTAAAGTGCTTTTGGTGAAATATAGTCTGACCTCATGCTTAGTGAAAATAGTATGTTAAAAACACCATGAAAAGTCTATTTTATAAGAATATATTAATTCTGTAGCTTTATTGACATGTGAATAGTAACAGCATATAGAAAAAAAAAAGTATTGACTGGTGAGAACACACTCCTGGATGAACATGAGATGGGATGTCACTCATTCTAGACAAGGAATTGTAAGGAAGAAAGAGATTGATTTCCTCAGGCCATTTGGGATATATTTCCTCTCTGCTGGAAGTTACACACTTCTTCATCAAGACTGCTAATCTCTGCATTTCCTGAAGTTACCTAAACTTACACTTCTGAAGTTGTAAATAGCAGGGTCACGTTTGGGAGGAAATAAAAAGTGAAAACAGATCTAACAGCAAAGAGAGGTCAGGCCACAAGTGGGGTTAATTAAAGAACTGTCCATAGTCCAGAAACTGGGAAGCTCCTTGCCTGGGCTGTTTAAACCCAGCATTTCTGGACAGGGGCTTTCAGGAGGAAGAAGATATTGAGGCAAAGCCTGTGACCCTCCAACTGCCCATAAAGGTTTGCAGAAAACAGATCTGAGTGGGAAGAACCACTCTGTGCCTTTGGGGTCAAACCCCTCATACAGCTAAAGGACCATCACAGCCAGATGTTGATAAGTTAGTATTGTCAGGAGAAATGGTGTCAGTCTCTCTGTGGACATCTTGTCAGTACTGAGGACCCAACCACTCCAGAGGGTGGCTGGACACTGGAACAGACCCCCCAGAGCAGTGGGGTCTGCCAGAGATCTGCCAGAGATCAAGGAGTGTTTGGACAATGCTCTCAGGGACATGATGGGATTGCTAGGGTGTCCTGTGCAGGGACAACAGTTGGACTTGATGATCCTTGTGGGTCCCTTCCAACTCAGCATATTCTGTAATTCTGTGATCCCTGAGGATTCACTCAGGGCTCTAGCTGGATGCTATGCCTAAATATGACAACAAATACACACCAGCTCATCCAAGGGTTTCCTTCGCACTGCACTAGGCTGGGTTATGACCCTAAATCCCTTTGCTCTCAACAATCACAGTGGCATCATGGGGAATGCCATTTTGCAAGAAAACCATTTAAAATTAGGGTTTTCCAGTCATGGCCTGAGATTCATTTGAAACAAATGACAGAACAGCTTGGGTTAGTATAAGGCTGAGAACTGTGGGACATACCCAGAGCAGCTCTGACACCATGATAACCAAATGATAACCAAAATGCTTGTGCAGTTCTTCCACCTCTGTTTTCCTGCCCTCCTCTCTCACTTGGCAGTAGGATGGTGATGGATATGGCATGTGAATGCAGCCCTGCAGCGTGACTGCACAGGCTCTGGCTGGGTCTGCTGCTCACTTGAATTAGACCTAGAGTGGAGATAGATCTTGAGGGGCTAGAGCTGAACAATATGGCCTGGGAAAACCTGGTTCATCAATTTCAACTCTTTCTTGCCACTATCAAAAGTTTTTCTTGAAGCATTTTATAATGTCTACCTACACCAATAGCCATGCAGCAGGCTGGATTTGTAACCATATAATTACATTTTCCACAATAATATATTCTTGCCCTCTAAAGACCTGAACAGGTAGGTAATAAGCACTTTTTTAGCAAGTATCCTAGAAGACCTTCAAAAACACAGTCTGCTGTGGAGAAGAAGAGGAATGAATCACCCTTTCTATAACCTCTTTAATTCATGGAGGGAAAAAAAACCCCTTAAAATCCACCATGTTTCTTTGAAAACTAGCATAAGGCAATATTGTCTACAAAAATGTGCTTTATGTCCTTTCAGGTTCTCACTTTTCAAGCATATTTGCTGGTATGTGAAACACATATGAGCCTCTCAGTAACAGCTATGATTTCAGATCTTTATTAACCAGTAGAACTGGGAGACTGGCATATCCCCAGTCTGGGAGAGGAGGATAGGGAAAAGGTCTTCTGAGCACCGTGAAAAATGAAATTTGGAATCTAATTCAGGATTTACTGCAAATGTTGATCAATTGACCTGCACCTGGGATGTGAGCCAGGCTGTAGTCTCATTAAGAGATTCCAGATTAATCATATGCCTCTCAAAGAGGCATCTTAGTAAGATTTTTCTGCAAAGACTATTGATGTAATTCAAGTTATGTTTAATTCTCGTAAATATAAGGGCAGGTTTTTTAGCATGTGTGTTACAGAAAGAGGTGAAGAAGTATGTCAGGCTAGTTTAACCACGATTTCAGCACCAGTCTGGTTAAATCTGTTTCTAAATCAATCTAGCTCTGCTACCTCTGTGACCAAACCACACACAGAAAGGCCTTAAAAACTGAAGTGATAAACCACCAAGGAACAGCAGTTTTTAATGAAAACAACAGGGATGATAATTAAACTTCCACCAGTGGTCTGAATTGGCAGTCAGCTCAGTTAGTGAACTAATAAAGAGACAGACCAAATTTTTTACTGCCTGCCTGTGGGACAGATCAGCCTTGACAATATTTCACCCTACCTCTCTAAAATGGGCTGAAACACTACTCAGGCAATAGGCAAAGCTGTTTTCATTTGTCATCCTCCTCCTTTCTCAGGGATTTACACCTACTGTTTATTAAGGAGTTGTTCTATATAGACCTCCCCACCCCATTTGCCTCTGGACCCCCAGCTAATTCTTGTCTCATTGCATCTGTTTTGGTGCCTGTAAGACTTTTCAATAAGAATTAATTTCTTACTTGAGAAAACCCTAATATGCACCATACAGCAATATTAGGAAAAAACAGTAGGTTCTGTACTATCTGATTTCTGGGATTTTGTGATTAATTGTGCAGCACTGACAGTAAATACATTTGGTTTATGTCAGTTGCTGATCAGAAAGAAAATTTATCTATTTTCCTCTAGTACAGGCCATATCTATAAATAACCAGGTGAATTCAAAAGTGGCTTCTCAGGCTGCTACAATCTCTACATGATAATGTATTTCTCTGACTAATTTTTTTAGAGATATCCTGCTTATATATATATATATATATATATATATATATATATATATATATATATATATATATATATATACACGAACTTACAAGGTATTTTTGCAGAAATATTTATTGCATGTTCTGTGCTCCATGGCTCTCCTTAGCAGGTGAGCATTAGTGACATGGTTTTTTTGTGACTGGCATTTAAATAACTTGGATACCATGAATTCCCTAAAAGTTCTGTGTTTCCAAAGCTCTTCTTATCATAAGGATATACTACAAAATATATTGACCTTCTGTGATTATTAACATGCTTTTACTTACTTACTTATTGCTTCCTGCAATTTGTAATGTGTTTAATCCTGACATAATGATAAAGAGGTCAGGAATAGAAAGGGAGGAATGGAATCAGCTAGAGACTATACTGACTTATAAGTTACCCAAATAATTAAGCCAGATAGCTGAAAAACAAGGACAAATTTTCTTCTGACCTGTGCTGCTGCTCTTCAAGCATTGTACCCTCATTCCCTTTGTTCCTTTTCTTCTGGGAAAATATACTGTCTTTCCAGTTTTCTTCCACTGGGAAAACATATTTCATGTAAATAATTTTTGATTTAACAACATATTTTTAATAATTTATCTTTATCCTTTAGCTCATCCTTATTCAGTTTGACTTTTCTCTTCCCTTACCAAGGTGCCCTTCATAATAATGGAATTGCATTAACATTTCTCCTTCAGCCTCCACTGCAAATAGGGACCTGAACCAAAGCCCTGGTTTGAACACTATTAGTAGAGGCACATCAGTGCAAGTGGGTTACAGCTGTTGAAACCTGCTCTGTAATATTCTCAGAGCAAACTATCAGATCATCAAATATGATTTTAAATGAAATCTGAAGTGTAAAAGGATTCTGGAAAGAACCATTTTCACATAAAGGCAAGGAGAATTACTCCAATTATAATGAAAGAGCTAAAAAAATAATGCTCCTCAGCTTCCTCAGTCCTGGGGGGTTTACTATGTATTTGTGTATTTTCTAAAGCATTCTTTTCCTCTGTTGTCCCTGTCTAACACTCCACACTGCATAATTGTCATTGTGCATTTACATTTTTCTTTGTTGCTGAGGACAGCCAGCTTGAATTAGAAGCTGTTCATTGCCAAATTCCGAAGATTCAGGATATTAACTTGGATTAAAGCAGGGCTGTCCCACCCCTTCTCCCAGCCTCGCAGGGGAGGGTGTTGATGGGTCACACAGCTGCTCCTGAGCTGCCACTGCTCCTGACTGACATATTTTTTGCTTTACTCTAGCATGTCAAGCTGTCTGTATCCGTCTGTCAGCTCCAGGCAAGGATGCCAGCCTCTAAGATAAGGGCAGCATGATGAGGCAAGGTTGGTACTTGTGTCAGCCACCCCAGCTTGATCTGCTGTTGCATGTGTCTGCACACTGCCAAAACTCTGTCATTCCTGTCTTCTGGGCAGCTACTGCTTGTAAAACCGATCTACTTCTTTACAAAAGTTATTATTTCACCCCAGACTGGGGACTTGTCCAAGTCCTGAGTCACTGGGAGGCCTCATGGAGGCTCTCGCACTTGGGCTGTGGGTGTAGCCCCCGCTCAGACCGTATGAACAGGAGGGCTCCCTCCACGAGCCCCACTCCTAAGCAGAAGGCAAAGAATTGAGTAGGGGATTTAATGTTAAGAACTGGATGCTAAATGAATACCAGCCAACCTAACTCACTGCCTGCCCCCAAATATTTGAAATTCAAACAGATCATGCTCTGCATAAAGCAAACCAGTGCTCTTGGTAGGGAATGTATCTGTATTTGCCTAGTACCACACTGAAAAACCATTGATTTCCACACACTCTGAATGTTCCTAAAGGCTTAGGAACTAATGTCAGCTGACTATGTTTGTACTGGATGCTCAATCAGTGCACCAAATATGCTCTGCAAACTAGTTACCTTTAAAATTATAGTGGCACCTTCTTGAATGTATTGCTGCCACCAGATTTCATGGGTCTCCTTTGGGTTTTCTTGGGAGAAAAAAGGGCAAGGATGAATATGAACATGACCTGATGACAGTAATGTTGAAGTGATTTAATTCCATGTTATTAATATACATTTGGAATTTTCCCCATGTGTTTAAATTTCCTCAGGGACATTACTTCATTCCTTACTTGGCATTTTCCCCCATCTTTCATTCTCTTTCCCTTTTTCTTTTCCTCTTTCCATTGTCCCTTTTCTCTCCTTTTCCTTTACCTCTTCCTGTTCTTTTTCCTTCTTTTTCTTTTCTACTCTAATCTATTATACATTCTTGGCTTTACTATTCTATTACTTTTTATTTCAAGAAAATTCTAGACATGTGATACAGTTTTGCATGCTTTTGCCCCTAATAATAATTATGGGTCAATTTTCACACCCTATAAATTTGGATGGCTAAATTTGGTGCAATTCTACTGATATTAAGGAAATTTTAACTGACATCGGACTCTAACCTGACATTTTAATGATTGATTTGCATGGTCTCAGCTGCAAGACAATCTGTCTTAAGCCCCCATTAAATCAGAAAATGACTGTTTCTGACTGAATATGCCAATCATTCTAGCTTATCTAGTGAGAGATGCCACATGCTTTCTCCTGCTTTAGCTTTATTTTTTGACAGCTACTTAAGCTATTTACTGTCTAATTGGGTCTGCCAACCCTCCGTTCACATCCCAGTCTGTCCAGCCCAGACACAAAAGTCTGAAAACATTTCTAATATCTGCATACTGTTGTTGATTACAAGATATGGGGGGTAAAAAAATGCAGCCTAGATGTGACAACATGCTTACTTCTGTATCATTATTTCCCAGAAAAAAATTTTAAAAATTGCAAAAACTGACAGAAGAAATTATGTCTGAGTACCTGGGCTGATTCTGATTAATGAGGGGAGGAAGGGTACCATGTACAGGAGAAAAGCCACATTTTTTTCTGTGGCTTTCACACTGGTAAGGCAGTAAGGGCTAAATCCTGCTAGTTGTTGCTTGCTGTGCTGTGAAGGAGGAGGAGGAGGAGGAAAGAGCTGCTCCCCGGGCAGCACCAGGAGGTGCTGCTTGCTGCTGTGCCTCAGTGTGTGTCTGAAAGAACAGGATGCCCTCACACACAGCAACCCCTAGCAGGGCTGGCCCTGCTTTGCCTCCATGCAGAGAAACAAGAACTCCCCTGTGCAGAGTCCCACTGCGTAATTCTGCTCATCAACACCAGGATTTTCTCCATGAAGGATACATCTGCCAACCTCACAGCTGTGGCTTGCCAAACAGCACACCAGCGTTTGGACTACAGTTTCTTTCTGGGGTTGGCAGAGCTCTGACATCCGCCAGGACCTGATCCAAAGCTCATGGGATTTAATGGGGAAAAAATAAGTCCATTGATCTTGGTAGCTTTGGATCTGTCCTTTTGCTCATCTCCTTTGATGATTTATACAACACTGACATGCATATTTCACTTCTGAAGCACACAGAGCACATGGTTTTAATCTCACTATTTCCCTGGTGACAGGGAAGGAACTGTGTTGGCAGCCAAGATACTGAAAAACATTCATTATTCTGTATATTATTATTACTTTTTACTTCCCCACGGAAGGTAGAAATTACAATTTAAAAAATCACAAATATTCTGGTTTACAATCTTTGCTTACCCATAAAGGCACAATCAAATATTGTAAAGTGCAAATTTTTGTGTATGTGTAAAAATATGAGAATGTTTTAAATTGAAATATTAGGTAAGAGAACATCAAGTACTAAAAGCCACTGAAAAAGAAAAAAAATCTCCTTTTCCCTAGAAGCAGCTTAGAGAGGGAATCTTTCCAAAGTACTGGGAAATTGTCTTCTCAGGTTGGAAGGTGAGAACAAATCAATCATGTAAAGTCTTTGTAACATGAAGATTACTGGGCCACTGGCAGCAGTTCTCTATTAGTTATGCTGATCTGCACCAAGTCCTACAATAGCAGTGGCTACAAAACAAACTTAAACTCACAACTCAAGATTCCTCATGACCTCAAGTTTTCGGGAGCAGCCAGGGTATCTATGTTGTCTGTCAGACCCAGTATCCTGTGCATTTCCCCGAGGGACCCCCCTCAGCACCCAAGTTCATGGAGACAGAGCAGCTTCTGCCCACAGAACAGACCCATAAGCAGCCAGGCATTTTCATAAAGCAGGAGGGATGCTTGGCTATATTTTTAGATCTTTCATTCCTAACCCAACATCTTTTTCCTTCTTTGTGTACTCACTGGCTAGTGCAATTTTTTCAGCACTAGATGTCAGTGTGGACTTGCAATACCAGACTGCTCTGCAAGTTTTCTTTAACAGAGAAAGAATTGCTATCCAGAATGAATCCAAGCTTCTCCAGCCTCATGATATGCTTCTACAAAACAGGTCTTTTTTGCTGTTTAAACTCCACGTGGAAAGCTTTCTGTCCTTGACTGGGATTATACAGCTGTAAAAGGACCCTTTCTAAATTGTGATCATATCATGACTGAGTTAAAGAGGAGTTACCATGAGTCCAGAGGAAAAGCCTTAGAAAATAATGAAGAAAATAAATTGTTCTGAATTGTCTTGATAATCTGTGATCTTGCTAAGAAGGCATTGCACATGTGGTCCATGGGAATGGTTAATCCTGCAACTAAGAATACTCATCTCAACAAGAACCTCCTGTCAAGACTGAGTTTTTGCTTTCCTACTTCCTAGAAAGATACTGCATCATCTGGATGTGTTCTGCTACACCAAGCAGTTACAAGGACTGTTCTAACTTGCACTTGATTTACTGTTTGCCTGGCTTTTTCTGAATACTGAACTGAAACCAGCTTGGGGCAGAACAACCAGCCAGGAAGTGTATGTTGGCTTTCTCAAGTGGTGAAATGACTAGTTTCTACCACTCTTCGGAAAACATTTTGCTTCCTTATTTAAGAAATTTAAGTCCCTCATTCCCTATGCTGTTATGGGAAGGCTGAGGAAGAGAACCCTGACTCCCCTCATTTTGCAAGCAGCAATCTAGAACAAGACACAGCTCCTCTTCTCCTGGAGAGGTACAAACTGGAGAAAGGCAAAGCAGAGAGAGGAGGAAGTGGGTTCACAATTGTGATTTCTCATCTCTTACGTTCATGGGTTTTGGCTTCTGTTGAGTGGATCTGAGCCAACACGACAGATGGAGCCTTTTACACCACCCTCACGCTTGGTTTGCAGCAGGCGTGATGCACAGAAGCTGAGGCAGAAAACGTTTCTGGCAGAGAGCGCAGAGCTCTCTGACATCCTCCTGACCCAGTACTGCTGTAGCTGTGATCTAGGCCTTCAGAAAAATCCAGTTACATGCCTTTGTGTTCTTCACTAAGCATTTGCTAGTGAAGTATTATCCTGATACATGCATTAGTGTGCCTAGATTTTATTGTACTTTATGGTTGTTACTGTCCCTTTGACTCGTGCTGCACAAAGTCACTGTGACACATGTGACTGCCCAAGCAGCTGTGCTTAACATTCCTGTGTGTTTTTGTTTCTCATTATTAGGCTTATCAGTGGCAGACTGCAAGCAGTGGGCTGTAGAATATCAATTAATAATTAATATAAAATATTAGCAAACACTGTGCAAAAATAAGGACAAAGTCATTTTTTCTTCTGGGCCCTGAGAAGGTAATATTTGGTAGGTGATAGAAAACCTGAGAGAATACAGATTGTACTTGGCAAATCTAATATCACGTGGCTCTACCACCTGCTCTCATTCCTACATTTTTTGCTGTTATTTTTCTGTAGTACTGCTTTCCATATACTTATCTCTTTCTACAGATGTCTGGCATTCAAAGAATTAGTATCAATAATGAAAGATGTATCCTGTAAAATAGCTTTGCCTGCAATCAGCTTCTGAAGACTGATTTACTTGTGTAATTCTCACTGTGTCATGACTTGAAGTGTCTTCCTTATTATTAAGTATCATGAACTGCTCTAGATAAAGCTCTCTGTTAAGCCAGCTGCCTTTTTAGATGTGAAAGGATTTTGTAGTCCCACCCTGTACCGAAAAACAAATTAGTGTAAGTCAGGGATATAACTCAAAAGAGTACCATTATTTCCCCCTGCCCAAGTAAAGGGAGTTTAAGGTGATCAATTGTCCTCCCCCAACTCCCAAATGCACACTCAGCTGGCATTGCTGGGTACTGGTATGAGATCTGAAAATGAGAGAGAGTAAATGTGCTTCCCATATGTTAATTTGTCCTACACCCTCTCTTGGAGCTGGATGGCACCTTTATATATCAGCTTGTATACCCCAGACTCACATACCCACAGATGTATCATGCCTTGCCCAGATGAACGTGCATCGGTGTCACTTCATTAATGAAATGGTGCAGATTCCTCCAGTGCAGAAATGGGCACAGCCTAAGCAGCTATTTGTCTTCTCTAGCTTCTCAAGCACGTAGTAAAAATGAGGGTTGGGGGCGGGGCTGTAACTGCAGGAAGGTTCAGGAAACTACACAGAGAGGTGATTAATGCAAAGCTGATAACAACAAAACCCTCACCAACAAGTAAAACTAATACAGCACGTGGGAGAGCCAGTTAACAGTGCTGGCCTGATCACGTAGCAAAAAGGCAAATTCATATGAATAGCATTTGGTATGGCCTCTGGTTGCCTACATAGGCACTCAGTGGCTATGATAGTACAGTTGTGAGTGTAGGACAGCATACAAATTATTAGGGGGAATACCCTTTTCTATGAGAAATCTTGGACTGAAGTATATTTCTTAAAATACTACTTTACAGCATGTGGTAATGAAGTGCACGGCACAAATTGCCATTTTGTCAAGTATGTTATTTCCAAGTATTTCTTCCTGTACAAAATGGTCAATCAATAAGTCCAGTCAAAATGTCAGTTTATTTTCAAGATTAAGTTATCTTCTTTGTGAACATCAGTTTTCTCTACAGGCAACTCTAGAGTACAAAATACAGCATATTGTTTGCAGTGTGATAGAAACTTCAGAAAAGCATAAATTTCAAACAATAGAAGGCTTTAAACAGAATTTTTATAAAGCAAGGGTGAACCTCCTTATCCTTGTGAGCATCACCACACATTTACAAAACAGTTTTAGAAATCAAACCTCGAGTTTGACAAGCAGCTTGGTTTTTTTATTCCATGAAGATTGATCTCAACATGTTGCAGAATTGTTTTTCATGTGTCAGTGTAAGCATGTGCCCAAATCTTCATGTGATTAACATCAATATGTGTAAAGAGTTATTTAATGCAAATAAAAATCTAAATCTGGATAATGGGGTCTCCTGCATCTGTAAAAACACCAGACAGCAGCTGGAGCATCACTGACACCAAAATCTATCTAAAGGGATTCCTACAATAGCTTTATGTATTGTTTGCAGTCACACTGAGAGGGATTATATGGGACCTATTTCCCTCAGTGTACAGATGTGAACATAAAACAGCCTCATCTGCTGGATGGCTTACTCTAGCTACAGATGCAAGGCATGTACATTTTACATGTCTTATTTCAGGGGTATAAAACAGATCTGTTTTGCTTTCCCTATGAGCAACTAAACACATCAGAAGTCTCTATTTTCAGTTATCTGTGCAGAAGTGGTGTGCAGAGCTATTTCTTTGAAACTGATGAAATACACAGTAATGTAAAAACTGCACTGACCTCTTCTAATCACAATGTGCAGTTCTAGCCTGGTACCTGCTCAAAAAATCTAGTTGGCTAAACCTTTTTAGACGGTTTTAGAAGCCCACACTTTTTATTATAAAATAAGCTGTATGTTATAAGGGTATCCCGTTACTTTTTGAATACTTCTCCTTTAGAAAAAAGTGTCTGATTGGTTCTGAACAGAATGAAACTCTGGCTGGCTTTATTAGTTCAGGGTCAGATGCTTCTGTCAATAATGAAACCTTGCTTAAATCCTTGTTTCAGTGTCACTTTAAAAGCCATCAAAGAAGGAGGCAGCAGGGGAGAGGGGAAATTATCTGTCTGCATAGCTCTCTGTCAAGCAAAATGCAGGCCCCTGTTCCATTTATCAGTACACATTTTCCAAAATGTGCAATATTATGAATTTTGTATGCTTAGGGCACACCTGTCACCTGGGATGTTCAAGGAAACCAGTCAAGAATCAAGTTCATTATTTTCATGTGCTGATAGACAAGATGGTGCAACCAGAACTGAACAGGAGGTATGCAGCTTGTAACAAAGAACAGTGAGTATATTTGCCTGTCTAAACCAGTTTTTTCCCACTATTCTGGACAAGGAACAAGTAGTGCTTATTTAAGTATGACTACGATTCCCTAGATATGTTTCTACGGGAACAAAAGCAGCATTCACCCATATAGACCTATAGAAGTTAATTTTTATATAACTATCTGCTTTTCCACTGAATTCTTGAAATCTGTAGTAGCAAGATATTCTACTTTCTCTCTGCAGTTCTTGCTCTCATCACTAGTGACTTTCTTTTGTAACTTTCGAAGTTTTTATGCAAACTACTTCTGGAATGTAGTAATGAACAAATGGGTGGAGGTTACAGTGCCAGATACTGCCTCTACAAGAATAGACAGCTAAAAGACATTTGTTAGAAGAAATGTTATCTTGAAAACCTAACTGTACTGTTGCTTATATAAAGCAAATGTTCATATCTAGAAAAATTTCTATTCATTTTTCAGAGTGATCAGGAAGAACTGAGGGGAGAAAGCTGGCTCAGAGGCTTTTTTTTTCCTGAAGATGTGTTATTTGAGAGGTGTGTCTTGTTTAGATTCACACTTGATAGTGAGAGAGCTGCAAATATATCCTAGATGCTAAACAAAAACTGCAGCCTACAAAAAAACCCCAAAATCAAACAAACAAACAAACAAAAAAACCAAAAAAAGAAAAAAAAAACAACCAAACAAAAAAACCCCAAACCAAACACAAAAAACCAGAAAATCACATTGCACTGGGAGCAGTCATGCTCTCCGAGAAGGGAACACAGGCTGTCCTGTTGTTGTGATTCTTTTTCTGTGAAATATCCTATGCTGTTAAATGTAACTTTATGACTGTAAGACTGAGTAACTGGATGTCTTTTTTGTAGGGCTTTTTTTCCACCATAGGCATCATAATTTAGTCCTAAATTGAATAAAATATTATTCACAGTCACATATGATCTGTATTTAATACCTGCTCAATTCTTAAATCCACTGTAAAAAAATACAGAAAGTGCTGTGATACTGTGTAGCAATGTACTATTTTCAAAAGGCTGTTTATTCTAGCAGCTGAACAGCTCTACTAACACTCAGTAGTGGAAATTTTAAAAACTCCATAAAACTCTGAGCATGCTCCCTCTAACCCTGCTCCAATAGGGCTCAACATGCCACAGGCATTCTGCGAGCAGCAGAAATTATGAGTCATGTTTGCAACATCCTTTGCCCAAGCAGATTCCTGGAATTTAGCAGGATAGGAATTCCTATGGTAGCTTTCTTTTCTGTAGGAACATTAGAATCTCTGTTTTCTATATAACCACTTATTTTCTATACTGTTAATGTCTCTGAGAGATTTGGCTGAAGCTGGAGAAGCATTTAAAAAGTAACCAGTGGTGGCAGCGCAGACAGCATATCCACACTGACTTTCTGCAGGGAATTGAACTAGAAAGTGCTCATGATTGATCTACTTTGGAGTATCTACCACTGCCAGCAGAGACTGCAGCTTATAATTCACAAGTGGGGATGACATAGCTTGGGACGGCAGATTATCGACCCCAGCTGTCTGCCCAACACCCAGCACACAAAAGACTCTTCATGAGACAGCTGTGGAATCGCTGCCTCTCGCTGAAACGGGCAAACAGTTTACACCAGCATTCTCTAAATGGGGTTCACAGTATTCACAGAGTGTCTCAGCTATCCAGAAAAGTGGTGTTGGAATGAAGAGTTAGGGCTAGTGCCACCCCCAACGATGGCACCTCTTCTTGCAGACCCAGCTGTGAGCTGCAGTGATGCCAGAATGTGATGCCACATGCAGTTGTAAGAGACACGGCAAAAGGAGGTGGAACAGAAGGCCTTTCACATCTGAGAAGGAGCATCAAAGATGGCACAGTGTAAATGGCAAAGTGTAAATGTAGTGCTCCGTAATGCTTTTTGTTTTTAATTAAGGTTTGGATCAGTTTAATGGTATTAATTATAACATACTGTGCTACTGTGACATAGGAAGGAATGTAGCTGGAATCCCTACCGAGACAGTATGATGGAGAGTCCTGATGCACTGCTTCATGGTGACATACTCTATTTCAGAGCAGACAAAAATCCATAAAACAAGCAGTTTACCTCAGATGACCGACTGTAGGAATCATGATAATATAAATTCAATGTATGTGACACTCAGTATCAAACAAGACACAAAACAGTTTTTTGTCTCTGAATGTTTTGTCATGATCAAACTGAGCCTGCTATCCACATGGGTATTATACACTGGGATAAAATTTACAGCTTAGTTAATCCTCGTGTAAAAAAAACATGACTTTGAGTGAGAGACTGAGGTGTACAGGATTTTCCTGTATCACCTGTGAACCAAAGATGTCAGAGATTTTCATCCTTCTAGTTCTGCTTCCCGGTATGTCCATATATGTCTCCTGGTACATCCAGGTTCTCGGAGAACAGAGACTCACAGCAAACCGTCAGGGTTGGAAGTCCGGGAGAGCTCCCAAGGCGGGCAAGCGGCCCTTTCCCCCAGTGCCCCGCCGAGCCGCGGCCCAGGCGGGCGGCCGGGAGCCGCCCCAAGCGCCGGGCTCGGGCATCCGGGCGCTTGCTGGAGCCGCAGGGGCGGAGAAGCGAGCGGCGGCGCGGCAGGAGAGCACAGGAGGGCACCGCCGCTCCGCCACCCCGGCCCGCCCAGCCGCCCCCGCTCCTCTCCTTCACCTGCCGGGGCTCGAACGGAGCCCGGACACGGGGCCCGCCGCCGGCCGTCCCCAAGCGCGGCCGCTCGCGTCCTGCCAGCGGCGGTCTGGCTCTTCTCTGCTGCCCGGGGGGCGGGCAGCCGCGGGACGCCGGCGGGCGAGGGGCCAGCGAGCTCCGCTCGTGTGCGTGCGTGTGTCCCGCCGCGGGGACTGTCCCTGCTGCCGAGGCGAGCGCGGCCGGAGGCACGCGGGCCTCACCTGGCGCTGTCCCGCACCTTGCGGGAGGAGCGGCAGGCGGGGCGAGCCGGGGCCCGGCCCGTTGCGCCGCCGCCGCCGCCGGGGGCCGGTCTCCCGCCGGGCGCGGGGGGGAGCCGAGGCGGCGGCCCCCGCCCGCCGTAACCGCTCCCCCTCCCGCCCGCTGGTGCCGCCCCCAGCATGGCGACACGGTAGAGGAGCGGCTGCGCCGGGGCGACCGCCCCCTCCCGCCTCCTCGGCACGGGCACGGCGCGCCGCGGGTGAGCGAGCGGCCTCGGCGGCGCTGCTGCCGCCGGTGCCCCGCACAGGGCTCAGCGGCGGCGGACGAGGAGGAGGATGGCGGTGACGGTCGCGGCGGCGGCGGGCACAGCAGCAGCAGCAGCGGCGGCGGGGCCGAGCGGCCGCGCGGCGGGAGCCAGCACCGTCCCGAGCAGCTCATGGTGGCGCCCCAGACCCGCCAGCAGCGGCCGCGCCGGGGCCGCCAGCTGAGCCGGATCCCGGCGGGCGGCTCTCCCCTCTCCACACCGACCCACCGAGCGACCCGTCCCCCTCCCCCGACTCTCCCTCTCCCCCCTCCCCGGCGCGACCCGCGCCTCGGATCGCACCCGCCGGGACCGGACTGCCAGCACCCTCGGGCGCCGCGGGGAAGGCGGCGGCGGCGAAGGGCACCGGGCAGCGCCCGGCGGCGGCGGGACCATGGGCGCGAAGCAGAGCAGCCCCACCGCCGCCAATGGCCGCACCCGGGCGTACTCGGGCGGGGATCTGCCTTCCTCGAGCAGCAGCAGTAGCGGCGGCGCTAACGGGACCGGCGGGCGCTCGGCAGGCGGCGGCGGGCGCTACGCGCACCTGGCGGCGGCGCCTCACGCCGCTCCGAGCGGCGCGGCGGCCGCGGCGGCCGGAGGAGCGGCGGCGGCGGGGAGTGCCGCGGGGTCGGCACCCCGGAGCAGGTCCTTAGGGGGGGCCACGGCCTCCGGAGCCCGGGCGGCGCAGTCCGCCTTCAACATCCCCCACAGCAGCGGCCCCTACGGCTCGCAGGACTCGGTCAGCAGCACCCCGGAGGAGGGCGGCCGGGAGCGGCCCGCCGGGGGCGGCGGCGGCGGCGGCTCCTCCGGCGGGCCCCGGCTAGTGATCGGCTCGCTGCCCGCACACCTCTC